TATTTAAATAGAACTGAAATTGTAAATACCCAACCTGTCTGGGTTTATCTTGTAGTCTGTATATCACAGACTACAAAACTTCCTGTCCATTGATTAGTGTTTGCTTATGCTGAGTAATGAGGTTTGCTTTCCAGGTATCTGGTGCTTGATGGGTTACTCCAGCCCATTAACAAGGTAATTTGTCTTAGATAGGATGACTCAAGGGAGACTTTCAGCTAAGTAGTTGCACATCACTTACCACCTTCAATTTAATATACTATTTTTATTTCAAATTAATGCTTCTTGCATTTTGCATCTTTAAAGACTGAACAGGGAAAGCCACAAGTGTTTGGATCACTTCTAAGATCAGTCTTAGAGTTCACAGCTAGATTAGATAGCCCATGTCAAAACAAGCTCATTCGTTTTTTATGCCTTGGACTACAACTTGGCGAGCTTTGTAGCTGCTTTGGTTTTTAAATTAATGGGAGAGGGGACAGAAGGAGTATCAAAATCCTGCACCATTACTTGTTAGATTTCTGTTAAATGAATCCCTGTGCAAACTCTCAGACTGTGTGTGTTTTGTAGCACTGGGGTTACACTAGCCAAGGGCTCAACAATCCAAGGCACCATGCCACTTAAAAATTTCATTGTGGTATCTTGTATTTTCAAAATGCCATTGTAGCATCTCTGAGCAATCCTTGGAAGCTCAAAACTCATTCTCATTTTGAGAAGGAATGTGTTCTATTGTGTGACTGTGATGGATTGCACAGAAAAGCAGGCTTTTTAAAATGCTGCTTGTTTCAGAGAGTCAGGGAGTTCATGAATTAATCTTCCCTGAAGAGAAGCCCTTATGTGATTGGCTGCTCTATGCTTTCTCTGATTGGCCAGCATCAGCTGAGAGAGGAAATAAAACAGCTGATCTGGAGTGAAAAGAGGTCTTTTGCTGTTTGGTCTTTTGCCTTTTGAGACACTTTTGGTCTGGATCAGTAGCCAGCCTCTGCACAGGGGGTTTCTAAAACTATGTAGAGGAAGGTTCGTTCTTGGTTTATTTAATTATTTGAAAAAAATAGAATTTTTTGGGAAATCTGGAAGCAACATGGTAGCAATGCATGTAGTTACAATGAACTGCTGCTTTTCATTATGTGTGGTATTTATAATTTACATTTATAGACTGCCATCCCTTGTACACAAGGCTCAGGGCACTGAACAGCAACAACAATAAAACAGTAATGATAATGTTAATGATAAAACAACATAATTAAAACATTCCCAGAAAGTGCTAAGACTTCAAAATTTCAAATTGTGTCAGTGCCTCATGGGGGAGGTAGAGAAGAAGCGGGGGGGGGGGAGCAGAAGAATGGTACTCATTGCTGTCCTCAGGCAAAAGCTCGGCAGAACACCTCTGCCAAGCACGCCCTATGGAGCTGCATTAGATCCCAGAGGGCATGGATGTTATTCGTCAGAGGGTTCCACCAGGTGGGGGCCAGGGCTGAAAAGGCCCTGGTCCTCATCAAGGACAGCTGGATGTCTTTTGGTCTGGGGATCACCAGTAGATTGTTCTCTATGGAGCGTAACACTCTTTGGGGGATGTAGCAGAGGAGGCATTCACAAAGATATGTGGGTCCCTGACCGCCTAAGGCCTTAAAAGTCAATACCAGAACCTTGAATCTGACTCAGTACTCCACTGGAAGCCAGTGCAGCTGACGCAGCACAGGTTGAATATGCGCTGTCCTTGATATTGCAGTCAGGAATTGTGCTGCCTATTCTGGTCCAGCTGGAGTTTCCAAATCAGTCTCAAGGATAGGCCAGCATAGAGCGAGTTACAGTAGTCCAATCTGGAGGTGACTGTTGCATGGATTACTGTGGCTAGGTCAGGGCAAGACAGGAAGAGTGCCAGTTGCTTTACCAGGCACAGCTGGAAAAACTCCAGCTTGGCTACGTTTATGATCTGAGCCTCCATTGATAAGGAGACATCCAGAATCATGCCCGAACTCCTGACAGTCTGTGACAGTGTTAAGGGTACTAAGATCAGAGAAGGGTTACATAGCAAAGAGCAAAATACCAGACAAAGTTGTGCAAAGAAGATGATACAATTCTATATAACAAATGTCTTACAATGATGAGTAGTAACAATAATAAAGAACATGAGTACAGACTAAATATAATTGTAATCATTCAAATCCAACCCAATAGGTATAGTATAGAAATCATGAAATTACAAGACCAGGTACAAGTAATAAAGTTTTATGGACAATCATATAGAAACATGTGAATCATACAGATACAGTTCAAATACAATCAAGAAGGTCATAAAGATGTCATGTAGTTAATCATGTAAGAGTAGATAATAAACACCATCTATCTACTCTTACACAATAAACTACATGACATCTTTATGACCTGTATCTATATGATTCACATGTTTCTATATGATTGTCCATAAGACTTTATTACTTGTACCTGGTCTCATAATTTTATGATTTCTACATGGAGTTGAACTTCAATTACTAGGAAAATCTGTAATGTTCTTTATTAGTGCTAAGGACACACCATCGAAAGTAGGGAGTTGGTGCTCCAATCCTGAATCCCCCCCACAAGCCACAGTATCTCCATCTTAGTTAGATTCAATCTCAGCTCTTTTTTCAACCATCCCACCACAGCCTTCAACCCCTTGGCCAGATTTTTTGAGGTGGTGTCCAGATAGCCGCTCATCAGCAGATACAACTGGGTGTAATCAGCATATTACAGAAGCAAGCACTGGACTCAAATAGTCTGATTTCCTTCCTTCCGCAACACACCTTAGCTTGCCAGTTCAGAAGTAATGGCAAATTGTCATTTCTTTTGAAACAGATAAGGGCCAAATTTCAACAGTTGAAGGGATTAAGTGTGTGTGTAAGCCCATAGAGGTTTCATTCACATAAAGCCAAGCAATGGTTTGGATTTCAGTGCGAGCTGGTAATCTCATTTGCAGCTGTTGTATGTTCTCTGAACTACTAATACTAAATCTGATTTCACCACCACAATTACTCTTGAGCTACAAATGACTACATTAGATTTCAAAATCTACTGTTACATAACAGAAGTTCAGGTGTAGTCGGAAATCTTGCTTGAAATAGTACTTTCACATACACAGATGCTTATAGCAATGTTTCCAATGTTTTTACTTAAAATAATAAACTGTCTTGGTATTAGGATTGCCAGGTGCCCTCTGGCCACCAGTGGGGGGCTGGGGGGGGTAGGGTTGTAAGATCCAGATGGAGATTTGGGGATGGAGCCTGGGGAGGGCAGGGACCTCAGTAGGGTACAGTGCCATAGAGTTCACTCTCCAAAGCATCTATTTTCTCCAGAGGACCTGTTCTCTGTAGTCTGGCATCCCTTCTTGGTATATATGTTGGCAAGCTTAGAGGTTTGTAAAACCTAAAATTTATTATCCCGTATGATAACTATATTATGTAGAATGGAGGTTTCAACTTATAAGTTAAATGCTGCCCTCAAGGTGCTTCTGTTGAACAAAATGGCTGCCTGTTCTTGATTTTCAAAATGCTTGTGAAATGTTTCTGTGGTTTCAGATGTGATCTTGAATATTGTCGAGTACTATCCATACTCAGCAAGTTGCTTGGTATAAAGTGGCTGTATGTAACTTAGTCTTAAACATCAATTAGGATTTCCCAGTGCTTACAGGATTCTGGTCAATTTTTTTGTTTTACAGCACTGTGAGGGTATAAATAGGAAGTTAGTGTATTTCCTAGTTTGCACAGATTTTTGAAATGTATAAATTGGTTGGAATCTCAAGAGTAGTTCATGCAAGGATGGCTCTTAAGGACAAGCCAAAAATCTTATAGGAGGCAGCCTTATTCCACTCCTGTTTGTTTGGACAATGGCATTTTTTTCCTTTTATGTGTGGTTGAGCTGCCTTGCTTATTAGGTGTGCCTTTTAAACAAATTATATCAATTCAGGGCTTTAAAATGGTTTGTATTCCTGTTATTCTGACCGGCAAAGTTTGAAGCTTTCCTCCAATTTACATGGCTCTTTATGTGGTAGAAGATCCTCATAAGTTGGAGAAAGACTTTAAACTCTGAACAGAATGGTAGGATACCAACTTGTTTTTAAATATTACAAACCATTTTTAAACATTTATGAAACGTTGGATCAGGTCAACTAGAAATATTGCAGGGGTGTTATTTGAAAAAGACTGGAAATGTTTGGCTGTAAAAATGACATGTCTGTTTACTGATTTAAAAAATCTTTTTATTATGCAGTGTAAATGTGTTGTTTTGCATTTTGGAATGGATTGTGTATGCTTAAATAACTTTGCCCATCCCAAAAGGAAGATGAGCTTTTTATCTTTTTGAAGGTTGACTTCTATTTGAGTACGTACATGGGTGGGTGTTTTTCTTTCTCACCTTGGGGCCTTCTTTCACCAGCAAGGAGATCATAGGGCAAAGAAGGGAGTGTTCTCTGCTTCCAACAAGCTGGTGGGCAAGACTACAAGCAGCGCCAGAAGACACCAAGGTAGAGGGTGGCATACCTCTCCCCCCCACCAGCTGGCTCACCAGGCTGCTTGCAATGTGATGAGCCAGCTAGTGGGTGCCACCCTCTACCTCTCTGCTTTTTCTGGCTGTCTGCAAAAGGGGCAGAGGCACACAGAGAAGTGCCCCCTCAGTTGGTTCACCAGGCTGCTTGCAGTGTGGCAACCACACTACTCTCTCTCTCTGCTTCTACTCCTTATGGCTCATGCCAAAAGTAGGTTGAGACCAAGGTCAAATTAAATTCAGGATTATCCTCTATTCCTTTAGCCTTCTCTTGTATTGTGGGGAAGCCGTCTTACATTTGGGCCATCCTCTTTTCTGATGTATACAGTAATGTCATACTCTTTTCATAATATAAGTGAAGATAAGAAATACAATGTAATATTTTAGGTAGAAACCATGTCAGGATTATTCCCAGAAAATTCTGAAACACTCACTTTGTGCCTTGGCTTTGAGACTCTTAAATATTTAGACCTGTTTTCTTTTGGCAGCTCTTTGACCGACTGCGAGATGAACAGCCACAATTTAAAGAAAAAATTATAGCAATTGCTAGTGACCTTACAGAATTAGAAATGGCCCTTAGTGAAGAAGACAAGGAGACTCTCATAGACTGCACAAATATTGTATTTCACTGTGCTGCTACTGTAAGATTCAATGAAATTCTAAGGTGAGTGGTTTAAGTTAAATATACCTCAACATGAACAACTTTTGTGTTGTAAAGGAAGAATACACCTTGTCCTGCATTGTCTTAATGCTTTTGGACCATGATAAAAGCAAGTGCACTCATCCAGTGTGCTGCAATTTACACTTTTTTCCTGAAACTTTAAAGGTATGGGCCTAATTTTTAAAATTTTTGCCTTACTGAAATGGGGTCTGCCAATTCTGAAACTGGTGTGCCTCAAAAATGAATTATTTCATTCTTAAGGTTTTTATTCATAGTTGAAGATTTTGTTTTATTTCTGAACTAGGTCCTCCTTACTGATATAAAACTTGGAAAGCTATGGGAAAAGAATTTTCTTTTGGGGAAAATTAAAATGCATGCAGTACTTTTTCTATCAAACTGAAAATTCATACCATGTAATTTAGCATGTAAAATTGTAGTAACTTATGGAATTTAAAAGTAAAAGTCTTAGTTTTCTATAAGCAACTTCACAAGTATACCCAGTACTTGAGAGAGCACTGCAAACTGCCACACCTTAAGCTACCTTATCATATGTGTCTTAATTTTTGCCCTCTGAGAGGTAGGAAAAATAAAAGGTGGACTTAGAAACATAAAAGATGGAATTAGAAAACAAAATTCATAGTAAAGAAAAGAGTATGTTTTTGAATAGATAGTCTTAATATAGTCAGAATAAGCAGGACAGTATATTAAGTTAAACTTCATGACTCAATATACTGAACTCTATTATTGAACACATTATAGCAAATTAATTGTATACAGTAAACATATCCTTGAAAAACATGTCTACAGTATACACAGGAATGCTATAGTTTGTCTTACATAAACATTTTAAGTGAGTAAAACCTGGCCTTAAATCATTTCATACATGTCAAATGAGAAAATATTTTATAAAAGTTTTTTCTTGTGTTATCCCCAGATGTCCCTATTTTCCATTGGAAAAAAGTGGAAAAAAATCATTGGGAAAGGCACAGACTTTTTTTGAATGTTTATGGGCCTTCACATCTGTAGTACTGTTGGGGCAGTCAGGTATAAAAAGGGCGTTCTAGGTGCAAGCATAATAGTGGCGAAAAATAAATAGAATCTGTTGTCTTACCAGTCTAGGTATGTATATGCTGTTAATTAAGTGATTTGGATAATTAGCGGTTTAATAATAAATATTAAAAGAAATATGGCTTAATCTTACAAGTTTGTGATGCTTGTACAGGCTTACAAGAGTGAATCTTGTTAACATTTAGAAAATGCATAAATTCGTTTGCTCTGGAGCCATCCTTCCTGAGCTGAGACAAAAAGGTGTGAGCCGGAGGCTAAAAAACTGTGAGCTAGCTCACACTAACTCAGCTTAGAGGGAACACTGATCACAACTACTTCCCAGTACCAGCATTTAAATGACTTTTATTCTCTTGGTGCTTCAGTTTTCCTTGTCACAACTTTGTGGAAACAGCCTTCCCAGAAATAATTAACTGATTCTGGCATTAAGTTATTACTAGTTTGTTTATCTACATTTATTTATAAGGTCAATTTATATACCGCCTTTCCCTGAGTCCCAAGGGCTCAGAGCGGTTGCCAACAACAAAAATTACAATATAAAACCAAAATTAAAATAGTCAAGTTAAAATTAAAAAACATTAGATGGTGCCAAAATTAATACAGTATGCATTACTGTCCTGCAAGCAGAGTGAGGGGGAAGGGAGGGAGTGCCAGGTAGATGGTACCTGTTGCTGTCCTCAGCCAAAAACCTGGCGGAACATCTCTGCCTTACATACCCTGTGGAACTGCATAAGGTAGGAGCCAGGGCTGAAAAAAGACATATGTTAACAGACCACAGTTCACAAATGCCAGTTACCCTGTTTCCCCGAAAATAAGACCTACCCCAAAACTAAGCCCTAGCAGGATTTCTATGCATTTGTGGTATAAGCCCTAGTGTGTCTTCTTGAGAAAAAATAAATATAAGACAGTGTCTTATTTTCGGGGAAACACGGTACTCTGCTTCTTGTCTCGTTTCGTGCCTTCAGGTACAGTTCCTGGATGCTGTACTGAGCTTCCCTGAGTTGCCATGTTGCTTGCTATCAGTCCACTGGTGGGGGAGCCTTGGGCAAACCAAGATGCTGCCACCTCCTGACTCTTGTTTAAGGACCCTTTGTCTCCCTTCCCCTTTTTGTCTGCTTTGCTGAATTCCTGCACTGAAATAAACAACTGAAATAAATTAGATCTTTCTCTCCCCCCCCCTTACTGGTTTTACTGCCTTTTAAATTTTTTCTGAAAGAGGCTGAATTCTCTGAAGCACATTGCTGCTTGGTTAGTTATCACTAGCAAGGAAGGGGTGTCCAAAGAAAGCAGAGGGAAGGAGAGAGAGGGAATCGGCGAAAGTACCTTCAGTACTGGAATGCATTTGGATTGGCAAAAGTTTCCATGCTTTCCTTGAAGTAGGTTGGGGACAGTGGTACTGAATAAACTGGGATTTCTCTATTCAGGTGGCACACAAAGCATAGTTAAGCCAGGTACAAACTATAGTTTAGAATGCCAGTTTGGTACACAGCAACAAGCTGCAGTGTTCTGGGTAGTCTGCATTCAGGCACTGCAATAAAGCAGTAGTTTTAATATAATAAAGTAATGGTTTATAAACTGGAGTTAATCATTTGAATGTAGCTTCATCTGCACACCTGGGCTCCGCTGTCTCACTGCTGAGGATTCATGCAAATTTGTCATGTACATAACCTGCTGAAACGCTGCATCTTGCTTGCTACCCATCTTTTTAACCCTGAACTAGCATCTAATTTGGATTTTATTTACCCTAGCTGCTGCGTGTATATGACTGAATAAAAGTTTGTCTTTATTTTAAAACAATTATTTTCATTGTAGAAGGAACACACAGCAAATGTGTCTTAATCCAGAAATTTTCAATTATGCAGAGTGCATAGTATGGTTCCTTTGTATCTAACATTTAGCACCTAATAGGAGGCCATTGTTCAGTTCATAATTAAGAGCTGTCTGTTTTTGTGTAGGGGCCTGTAGAAGAAAAAGTACAATGGTAATGGGTATCCTCCTTTCCCTGAGAGTTCTGTTTCTCCCAACTTGAGGCAACATTTTGCTGCCTTCTATAGTAAGATGATACGGGCTGGAGTGTAAATGAATGCAGAGATGGTTAGAGATGAGCCACACACTATCAGAAACACTTGCAAACCAATCGTGTCCTTTTGCTTTCAGCAAATACAGTGGTAGTACCTAGCTCGGACTGACACAGGTGTTCAGGGAACACCTAAGAAACCAAAAAAATCCCAAAGGAATGTGAACTTGTTTAGTTATATGTACACACAGGATCTTGGGTCTGGTTATCTAAAGTCCTCTAGGACAGACTCATGTAATGTTTTCTTGTTTTTTTTCTTCTTTCAACAGAGATGCTGTTCAGCTCAACGTAATTGCAACACAGCAGCTTCTTTTCTTAGCCCAGAAAATGAAGAATCTGGATGTGTTTATCCATGTTTCAACAGCATTTGCCTATTGCAATCGAAAGCACATTGAGGAAGTCGTCTATCCACCCCCTGTTGATCCCAAGAAATTGATAGATTCCTTAGAGTATGTGTTTAGTGCTCTCATCTTGTATCTACATTTTGAATAACATGAAATGTTGGGAAGTGTTTGTTTTAAACAGACCTGAAATGAGATGAGTTGGACGTTCTTGGTCTTTCAGATTTTGATCATATGTGATAAAAAAAAATTGAAGATGTGATTAGGCGGGATATGGAATAACCCTAGATACTGTATAAATAGAGCTAGTGTGGTATAATGGTTAGTGTGTTGCAGTAGGATCTGGGAGGTCCAGCTTTGAATCCTCACTCTGCCATGGAAGCTTGTGTGTGTGTGTGGGGGGGGGGAGATCTTGGGCCACTCACACATTCTTAGCCTAACCTATCTCAGGATAAAATGGAAGAGAAGAGAATGCTGTAAGTCACTTTTGGTCTCAAGTGAAGAGAAAGGCAGGGTATAAATGAAATAAATAAATACAGGGTGATAAACTCTTGATTTTACATTTAAGGCAAGAAGCTAATGTGTTGACAGTTCTAGAAGTCCGGCAAATAATTTGCTATACTATTAAAAATAATCAGGATCATGCTAGTCGGGTTCATTTGACAAGCTACTATACCAGTACTATTTTTGGGCACAGTATTTTATTATTTATTTATTGGTTCATTTTGTACCCTGCCCTCCCCGCAAAGCAGGCTCAGGGCGGCTCACATCAAAATATTGCATAAACTAGTCATCAGACTGATATATTTAAATTTAACATATTTGCATAACATTTTCTGGAATCTGAATGCTTGCCCACAGCTGACAAGACATTCTAGATGTAAACAGTGATACAGTGTATATGGATGACAATTTAACAGTTGACACACGTTTGTAAATAAGCTTATATCCCAGTTCATCCCCTCGGCTCCTTGGTTTATTCTGACCTGCTTAAATATACAAATATTCAGAAAAACATCAAATATTGACAGTTTGAATACTTGGAATCACTATTGTTTCTGTACAGTCAACTCCTTTTGATCTATTCATCTGCCTTTTCAAACTAATTTGTTTGGCTTCATGTAGGAGTTATTAGATATTTAGTCAAAAGAAAACTTGGATATTATTAAAAGGTCTTTTTGAAGTGAATGGCCAGTGTAATATTTAAACATGTATACCCCACCTCCCCTTATTAATGTTGCATCTTAGAACAAACATAAACATTTGGATAAAGATATTTAAATCTTCTGAAATACCCAGCATAAAAATGGAAAATCTAAAACACGATGATATAAAAACAAGACAGCTAGGCCTTCAGAGAATAAAAATGCCCAAGGATTGTAAATTAAGTACCAGGCAAGCTTCTGTGAGATGGATTCTGCAGTCTGAGTGCTACCACTGAAATGACTCTGGTGCTTACCCATCTAATCTCTTGACAATGTGGGTGCACAGAGCAGGTCATGTGATAATTGCTGGGCATGCTCATATGAGAGAAGATGATCATTCACATAACTTGGTCCCAGACCACATAGAGCCTTTACAAGTGTTAACTGGAACTTTTTGCTTGGAAGCAAATCAGCAGCCACTGAGTATATTAGTTTGTATGTTGGGTGGGGAAAAAGGAGACTTATTTTTTAGCTATTGAGTATCTTTTAAAGTTTTTAGTTGAAGCTGATACCTTTTTTGTTATAGTTTAATTGGGTAATTCTAAACTGAGCTTGGATTCTGAGGTGCCTTTCTGCTCATGGAAGGCCACGTTTCGGATCCAGCCTCATGACTTTGTTTTGGATCAATGTGTTGACTCACATGTAATACCCAAACTGTTGGAATTTTTGCCTTCAGTATTTCAATAACAAATAGCCACTTAAATTCCAGTAAATTTTTCCTTTTTTCCACTTGTTTCTGGAAATGACCTGAAAGCTCCATAAATAGCTATCAGTTTTCTGTTTTAAAGTGGGTGCGTGAATATAATTATGTATAATACAAAAGTCCTGCTTGGGAATGTTAGAGTAGAAGGGCTGGGCACGATATAAATATTTTAAATGTTTTTTCTGTAGGTGGATGGATGACGGCTTAGTGAATGATATTACTCCAAAACTGATAGGAGACAGGCCTAATACTTACACATATACAAAAGCCTTAGCAGAATACATTGTTCAACAGGAAGGTGCAAAATTAAATGTAGCCATTATAAGGCCATCAATTGTGGGTGCCAGCTGGAAAGAGCCTTTCCCAGTAAGTTAATTTTTATTACCTTAACTACTTGTTTAAATACCAAACGCCAGTGTTAACTTGTCAACAAAAACTATTGCATGTTAAAAAGGCAAAGGTTTCCGCAGTGTTGTGTATTGTTCAATCTGCATGTTGTTTCTCTCAGTTTACGTGTGAATGGAAGCCCAAAAGATAAATAGATTTAGGGCTATTTGTTCTGAGGCATACTACATTTGGTAAATAATTCATGTGTGCTTGGCTCTGAGAAAATCTTGCTTCTAACAGATGTTCCTGTGTTGAGGGTTGATACCTGCAGTAAAAGCAGTAATGTACAATCACTGATAGCAATTCTGTATAAGTGGGAGATATGTGATCCCTGCCAAGGTAGCCCAGAGTTATTTTTCTCCTAAATGGTTTGCTTTGACTTGAGATAACTTCCTGTATTAGAAATTGCTCCAGTTTATAGTATTGGAAGAATTAATACTTTTCAGTGGTAATTCTAAAACAAATATGCCCACAGGGCTTCCACATTCACACTTGTGGTTTGGACTCATAAGCAGAGAGAGAGAAACTCTTTCCATATTAACACTATCAGAGGCACAACTTGAAAGGACATTGTTGTGAACAAAAGTAGTAGTAATTTGTGCCCCTGGGCCTCTAGGGTAGATTTTTGCTAATAGGAAAAGTCTCAGTGTTGGGCATCTCCTCAAGACAGAAAGCAGGCTGGCAGATTTCCTCAAATGTTTTGTTAAGGGCTGGTATAGCCTCCAGATTGCTTTCTCATCCAGTGTTGTGTAATTCTTTTCAAAAGAGGAGAGAAGGCAGCAAACTTTCCACATACCCACATACTACTCAAGTAATTTATTTTCAGATGTTTGAATTGAATAGCTATACGGTGAAGAAAGTGCTCTGCTTGATGAGAGTACCTCATTTTTTTAAAATAATAGTTTGGTGAGAGGCTTTTTGACTAAAATAGCTGATAAAGACTTCTGTTACATAAGTGTTTTTAAAGCACTTTGGAAGAGGTAAATTATTGTTTGCTCATGTATGCAAGAGAGAGATAAAATTAGACTAAATAAAAATGTTATTCTTGTGATAATTTACTGTTGCAGAATGATTTCTGTCTTTTCCATAGTAGTTGAGCCAATAAGCTTTTCTCTCTTTTTTGTTTCCCAACAGGGATGGATTGACAACTTTAATGGACCTAGTGGCCTCTTTATTGCTGTAAGCAACCTTTGCAATGTAGTGTTTTGTCTTTGAAAGCTAAGGGTGACTTCAAATAATTTTCTTACTGTGTTATCTTCTGTTTTAAGGCAGGAAAAGGAATTCTTCGAACCATGCGAGCCTCCAACAGTGCAGTTGCAGATCTTATTCCAGTAGATGTAGTCATCAACGCAACAATAGCTGCTGCTTGGTATTCAGGAGTTAATAGGTATAGCAGGTGACAATGCAGTTTTCAACCGATCTAATAAACTATTGTCATATGATACTTTAATACTGTTAGCTCCAGTTTTTTAAGTGTAGGTTCAAACTTGTAAGTTACGTGTGGTGATGTTAGGTACTGCTGTAGGGACAAATAACCAGTTATGTTTACTTTCCTGTTTAATAATCATTGCAAAAGTGTCTGTGTCTAGGAAGGTACTGCATAAGCCTCCAGGAGTTCATAGCGTACAGCACTCCAGGGTATAGGAAAAGGACATTGGGACATAAAGTGTTTCTCCAAGAAACCCCTGCACTGAGTACTGGGGAGAACTGAGTTCAAATCCTCTGCCATGAAACTCACTGGGTAATAATTATCATATGGCACTGTGTATAGTATAGCTAGGAGATCTAAGATTGTCTGGCAGCCAGACGTTCTCGCTCTTTTAGCATTATGCACCACTAGGTGGTGAGTTAGGCTTTTTTAAGGCAAGAGACACTTCAGAGGTTGCCTGTCTCTGAGTCACAACCCTAGTATTCCTTGGAGGTCGCCCATTCAAATACTAGCCAAGGCTGACCCTGCTTAGCTTCCGAGATCTAACAAGATCGGACTAGCCTGGGCTATCCAGGTTAGGGCAACTCACTGGGTGACCTTGGGCCAGCCACACTGTTAGTCTGCATTACCTCGGAGGAGTATTGTGATGCTATAGCTCTTAGGTGGAAAGGCAGGATAAAAATGCCATTGCTGCCAAAAGCTGCTGAAATAGGTTGTCATTTCATACAGGGAGGGGAGAGGTGCCTGTAGAGTGGAAAGCGAAATGACATGAACTTGCACCCCAGGCATTTTGGTCCTGACTGTATAAAAGTGCATTCCAACAGCCTCGGTCTCTTCTTTGACCCCTGAATAAGGTCTATGTTAATTGCATTTAGACTGTTTCTTTTGCAGTCTGGTTGGGTGATACTGTATAAATAAACAAATTTAAATTGTAGTGTTATGTGTGTTTATAATTGTTGTTTTATTTATACTGTAAGCTGCCTTGAGTTCTGCAAGTCAGAAAGGAAGAATTTTAATTATTTACCCCTCAGTTTGCCTAAAAGACTAGCTATTATAAGAAAGTAAATTATGTAGATGTTCCTTGTCCAAATGTTTGCAGTCAAGACACATGATTAGGGAATAGGAAAACTTAAGTACAGGGTGGGCAGCAGTGGGCTCAAAGAATAATATTAAAAGTTTCAAATAGATACACTTTAGCAGCATTGTAAATACCTGGAAACAATGTTTACCATTAGGTTGTTGCATGGAAAATGACCGGGCACAAACAGGACAGAAGAAATACAGTTACCTTGAGTGTGCTAGAATTTGAAGAGGAAATAAAGGTTGGGAGGAGATGACTAACAAGACTGCTGAAAGTACAGCAGAAAGAGAAGTAGCAATCATATAACTGAGCAACAGACTTAAAAGAGTCTTAAGATGAGAAACAGATGAATCAGTAAATAGTGGAAATCATGATAAAAGATAACCAGAGAAAGCATGAGAACAGTATCAGTAAAAAAATTGGAAGTGTCTTTGAAAAACTACAGAAATAAGGGACACTGGCTTTGGTGGCTTGGATCTGAGGAACAAAGAATAAAAGGAATAAAAACTATGTTCAGGTTTATGATTTAGCATTTTCTTAGTGTGGACCTTGAGATCCTTCTGGTCATTTAGGTTAGCATTGGACACTTTGCTTGGCAGTAGTTCATCCTTCTTGTCCAAGTGTTCACTGAAGTCAGTATATTGGGTGACGTCTATCTCTTAACTTGTGGGATTCCCCAAGGTTCCATCTTATTTCAAATAATAAATATCTGACACTATCAAGAAGGATCTCCCAGTGACTGGAAGAAGGATGTCATCAGTGTGTTTCATTTCATAGCAGAACATTATTAATACCCTTGAATTAGCCTGAAGACCCACCTTAGTTTTTGTGGGGGTTAGCCTATGTAAGATGAATTCAGATAAGGAAATGATTAGCAGTTGTTGATGGCTATTATCAGCAGGGACTACTTTTTCTGGACCAGTGCAGACATACAAATAAACCAGGATTTAGGGATCTGTAACATGACATGGGTGGGAGAGGAATGGGGATTCAGTCCTGCTGGGGCTTTACTTGACCCAAGACTCCTCTAACATATTCTCCTTGGAGATGTTTTAGGCTATCATTCTCAGCCTTCTCGTCTCTTGTCTCATGTGGCATTTTCGCTGTTGCTTCTCTTGGCTTTCCCATTTGTGACAGCAGGTGGAGGCCCGTCTTTTGTGGTAACATCCACTTGTGTTTGTGCTAGCACAAGTACAAACCTCAACTGCCAGAGTAGCAATGTACTCTGTACAGAGTTGCATGCCAGAACAATATCATTTGCATTCCACAGCAGGTTCTCTTTTTCCTGCCTGATTCCTGGGTGTTCTTTGGTAGTATATTTTTTTATTTTATAGGACAAAACAAACATACATAACAAACACAAACTTACATACTGGGGTAACTTAATCTACATCATCTAGAGAGCCAGTTTGGTGTAGTGGTTAAGTGTGCGGACTCTAATCTGGGAGAACCGGGTTTGATTCCCCCACTCCTCCACTTGCACCTGCTGATGTGACCTTGGGTCAGTCACAAGCTCTGGCACAGCTGTTCCTGAGAGCAGTTTGTGTCAGAGTTCTCTCAGCCCCACCCACCTCACAGGGTGTCTGTTGTGGGGAGGGGAAGGGAAAGGAGTTTGTCAGCCGCTCTGAGACTCCAAGTGAAGGGCGGGGTATGAATCCAATCTCCTCTTCTTCTTCTTCTTCATCATTGTTTTATCTATTTATGTACCTCATACATATGTAGTTAAATATCCTATTTCAACCTTATAATAACAAACTATACTCTTTGCATATCTGTGAGTATACAATTCATAATGTCATATATTTTAAATATTATCTAAGCTTTTTGTTACAATCTTCAGTTAAGAATATTTAAGTATTTAAATGTACCATTCATAATTTCTTCTGATTTAGACTTTTTTATCTCAACATTTTCAGAGATTCTGCTCAGGAATTTTGCTCAAGTGAACCATCAAAAGATTTCCCTAGCCAGTGTCATTTAAGAAGTTTCATCCTCTTCTTCCTTTTCTGGTTTTTTCTCTTCAGTAAAGTCTTAATTCTGTGCCTTTTTCCCTTGTACGTAGAAAAACTTTCTTTTGGGAGTAGCCATCTGTATTCAAAACTTGAAATAGTTGGAGATTCCATGAACTCTTTTATTTCTTCTGAGTTGTTTCATCTTTTACACCTTCCACAGCATTGGAGATTTCATCATTTGTCGCTTTTTTGATGCTTCTCATATACACTTTTATGGGTATTTTTATCCCCCTTTTTAGGTGCAAAATTCATTCTGTGGGTCAAGTCAGTTTGATTGTAGTCTTGTTCCGTCTCTTCAATAGCAGTGTCTCTTTGTTCCTGAAGTTTCTTCATTTTGATTTTAGTTTCTAGTAGCCTTATCTCCCTTTTTATTCTGTAGTGGATCTACAACTTCTGTAGTGGATCTACAATTTCTGTAGTGGATCTACAATTTAAAAATGGAAGTAATTGTGTCATAGATTATAAATGGCAAATCATCCCAAGAAACCTGTGTCTCATTAATATCTGCTACCCCCCCCCCCCAATAGCTGAAAATAAAGCCTCTGGCACCTTTTTAACTCTTTCTATACCAACCATTTTAAAACAGTATCTCAAAACAGAGAGTCTTTTCCAAAGCCTGAGAATCAAAACACTTCTAAAGTTTACAAAATAAAAGCTTTTACAGTCATATTAAACACCATAAAGTTTTCAACAATGAGTCAGGGATCTTACCAATTGTTTACTTTACAGTAGAATACAGTCTGAACACAGTGCACTTTTATAATTTCAACAAATAAAGCAAAGCATGTTATAAAAAACTAAGAAGAAAACAAGTTCAAATTAATGTCCAATTTTCCCTCTCTCCCTCCCTCCCTTTCTGTATTTCTTTCTTTCTTTCTAAGGGGAAAAGATTTATAATCCTTTTGATGAGATGTGATTATTTATATTCCATGTTGGGATTAAATAGTTGTAGTTTAAATTGTCTTCATATAATTCCAGATAGTTTGGCTATCATCCAAAGAATAGAAATGTATTTCTGCTTCAGTGATGTTTAGAGTGAAACATATAAAATTTCTTCCAAGTTTATATTCCAAAAAGTAGTATTATAAACTCAGACAACAACTTTTCTTTTCTTCTTTGCCCTGGAAAGCGTTTAAAAACGGTTTTTCACTAAGTTCTTTTCCTAGCCGGCTGAAGAAGGAAGGAGTGGGAGGGAGGAATTTCCCTCCCTCCTTTCTTTATCTGTTTAAAATTTAAAGGGGCTTATTTGGATAATCCAATCCCAAAGAAGGGTAATGCCAAGGAATGTTCAAACTATCACACAATTGGACTCATATCACACGCTAGCAAGGTCATGCTCAAGATCCTACAAGCTAGGCTTCAACAGTACGTGGATAGAGAACTGCCAGAAGTACAAGCTGGGTTTCGAAGAGGTAGAGGAACTAGAGATCAAATTGCCAACATTCGCTGGATTATGGAGAAAGCAAGAGAGTACCAGAAAAACATCTACTTCTGCTTCATTGACTATGCTAAAGCCTTTGACTGTGTGGATCACAACAAACTATGGCAGGTCCTTAAAGAGATGGGAGTACCAGACCACCTCACATGTCTCTTGAGAAACCTGTATAAGGGCCAAGAAGCAACAGTTAGAACCGGATATGGAACAACTGATTGGTTCAGCATAGGAAAAGGAAAAAGTGGGCTTGAAGCTCAACATAAAAAAAAACTAAGATCATGGCAACTGGCCCCATCACTCCTTGGCAAATAGAAGGGGAAGTCGTGGAAGTAGTGACAGACTTCACGTTCCTGGGATCCCAGATCACCGCAGACTGTGACAGCAGCCATGAAATTAAAAGACGCCTGCTCCTTGGGAGGAAAGTGATGGCGAACCTAAACAGCATGATAAAAAGCAGAGACATCACCCTGCCAACAAAAGTCCGCATGGTCAAAGCAATGGTATTCCCAGTAGTCATGTATGGCTTGTGAGAGTTGAACTATAAGGAAGGCCGAGCGCCGAAGAATAGATTCTTTTGAACTATGGTGCTGGAGAAGACTCTTGAGAGTCCCTTGGACTGCAAGGATCAAATCAGTCAATCCTAAAAGAAATCAACCCTGACTGTTCCCTGGAAGGCCAGATAATGAAACTGAAGCTCAAATACTTTGGCCACCAAATGAGAAGGGAAAAGACTGGAGAAGACCCTGATGCTGGGAAAGATTGAAGGTCAAAGAAGATGGGGACAGCAAAGGATGAGATGGTTAGACAGTGTCATAGATGCAATGAACATGAAATTGAGCAAACTTCAGAGGACGGTGGAACACAGGAAGGCCTGGCGTGATCTGGTCCATGGGGTCGCAAAGAGTCGGACTCTGGTAATACTCAGAGGCTAATTTACCCTAGGCTACCTAGCTGCATAAAAGGTGTGGTACATGCTTAGTTAGCTTTCAGCTTACATGCTATGAAGATGGTAGTTTTTCACTGCCTTAGGGATTGGGGTAGGTAGTCACGGTACTTGTAGTGCCCAGGCCTGCAGCAAGCATGGTTGATGTTGTAGCTCCATGGTAATGTCTTCTACAACTGTTTGTGTCTTTTATTGGGCTCCAAGTTACCCAGTGCTGTGGACCCTTAGCACTGCCCTTTCCATTCCTTGCACGTGCCATCCATCTCAGTCCTGGGCTGCCTCTCAACTGTGCTGCACCACCTTAAGTGCCCAGCCCAATAACTGGCCATGCCCTTCTCCCTTGCCTTTCCTCCGTCCAGCCCCGGTACTCACATGCCCTTAGTCATAATGGTACTTCTTCCCTTTGCACAGCTGCAGCACAGGCTTCCCAAGTACTTACTGTGATTCAGCGGGGGACACAGACGTCCTCGCAGGATCATTCCTGCGGGGACAACAGACGCGCCGCACCATGCCGTCGCCAAGAAGTGGTACCATCGAGTATTCAGTCCCATTGCCAGAGCGTCGCCCAGCGTCACTTCCTGGCAACGGCATGGTGTGTTACAGGGAGGAATGGTCCAGCCGGGGAGCATGTTTCCCCCGCCGGATCACGATAAGTACTTGGGAACCCTACTGCAGCATGTAGCAGCCAGCCCTGACCAGTTAAGGGAGTGCCTGGCCACACCCTTCCCACCAGGTGTCTGCCATCCCCAGTGTTTGCCTGGCTCCCGTATTCCCTTCACTGTTACTGAAGTCTGACTCCTCTGCCCTCTGGCTGGCATTTGTCCTCTCAGGCTGCTGTACAGTTAATACGTTAGTACTGATTACTGAATAGCCAATTGAACATAATTGTTTTCCTGTAGTTGCAGGACTCTCACATAGGTAATGAATTTCTTGGAATTGCCTGAAGGCAGTAGATTAGAATTTTTTTCCACCAGCTAGAAGGAGTGGGGTCTGATCTGCATAAAAAGAAGAGGAATTCCCTTATGAGACTGGAATGCCAGGATTACCAGGGGTGCATCAGATTTGGAGAGTAAAGGCTATTAGGTGGGCAGGGCTATTCCCTGTTTGGGGGGAGATATGGGTCATGTGTTCTAGAGAGAAAAAGTTTTATTCCAAGAATGTCTCCTGGACAAGAACAAAAAGCACAACACTGAAATTTTATTGATTATGCTTTCAAGAACATGTTAAAGTTTGATTTTTCTTCTTCTTATGAAACGGATATTTTAATGTGAATGTTTTTGCCCCAGATATAAAGCCTATCTTGGTTTGTTCTAACCAGAGACCACAGAATATATCTGGAAAATGCCTGGAGTTCTTTATTTAAGAAGAGTCTTTAAAGAAATGGTTTAGTTTTCAGGACTAAGTGGCCTACCTTCTAGTGGCAAAAGGTTCTTTTTTAGTATTAAGGTTGATTGAATGAGGCTAGGAGGGATACCAGTCGGTAGACTCTGCTAAAGTCCATGTTTGACTGGACTTTATGTTTCCTTTTATGTTGAAAACATCTAGGAAAAATGATTAAAGTTTTCTATATCTTGATGTTTTTCAGACCAAGAAATATAATGGTGTACAATTGTACAACGGGTGGCACCAATCCTTTCCATTGGGGTGAAGTTGGTATGTTATGGTTTTTTTTATCCATGTTTGAATAGCATTAGCTTATTTATAAAATTTTGAGACAGTGTTTAGGTATATTGAAAATTAAAAACTGTTTTAAAATTGAAGCTTTCATGAGTTAAAGCTTTGGTTCTAATCAACATTGCCATATGTCCCTTCAGTTTATTCCGTAGACATCTGTCCATATGCCAGACTCCTCCTTTAATAAAATTATAGCACTAATGATCTCATAACTTGTTTTTTGTAAGATTTGATAGGGAAGATTAGTTTAGGACCTGGTGTATTAAAGTGGCTTAAAGAATGAGTTGTGATCCAAGACAATGCTGGTTTAAATCTTGGCTAAAAATTCGCCAAATTGCCATAGGCAAGCTGCTCTTGATCTGTCTTGCAGAGCAGTTATAAGAATTACTGTGGTATATACAAGAAGTGCTGTGAATTTTGAAGGTGCTGTACAAGTAGGTTAAGTTCTTTGTGGTCTCTGTTCAGTCTTATAGGTTCTAAGCTGGCAAGTAGAAATTCCAGAAAGCACTCAAACATTGGCACTCAAATTATCCTGTGGGGCGGAGTGAAGATTGCTCCCTTTAGTAGCTCCACATTGGTTCCCTGGAGAGTACCTCAGATTTTTTTGTCTCCATCTTTGGTTCTAAAAAAGTTAGTGCAATTTAGTCAACTTTGTCATTTCCTTTTTCCCTTCCACATTCCCCCCCCTTTCTTGAGCTGCTAAAACGGGTAAATTGCAAACGTTATGAAGCTGAAGACCCTAGTAAATTGGGGATTGGAAGAAGTACCTCAGAAACTGTGGAAGGTTCTTTTGTCTGCTTTCCTTCTAGTACTGGCTATCCCTGTGCATCTTCTGATACCAGAACCAGCTTTTGTACTAAGATCTGTTCTTGTCATTCTGCCACTTGTAGCTGAGCGCATGTTCAAACAGTTCCAGTGGTCACACTGCATTACTTAGGGTCAGCATCACTTCTATGTGCCTGCTTTTTTGATGGTGTTCCCATCTCCCTTTTTGATGCCTTCACTCTGGTCCCGTATATATCTACTGGTTCTCGTTTTTGGGGACACCTTCTAATTCCGAAGGTATTTTGTACTGCACTGGAGCTGAACGATTCTCTCAATGATGATGAGGTCTATAGCAAAAGTTGACAATATGACCATAGAGACTAGCCTTATCCCTACAATACTGAGGGATGGCAAAACAGGTCACATGTTGTTCTTCAAGAGGCTGCTATGGTCATGATGTGTTGCAGTGAATATCATACCTGTGTGCAAACTGTACACAACCACCGTAGCCTCAACAACCCTTTGCTTCAATACCTTGTTTATTACACCTGCCTACTCTTGGTCAGTTTCAATCCCTGCATTATGGCCACTCTTGTTTTTTCACCTTGCATCTACTAGTGCTAATGCCATGTTTCCACACTGCCTCCAACATTATTCCAACTTCCACTTTATCACCGATGTCTTCGGTATTCTTTGAAATGTTATTCTTTTGAAACCTGTGGCATCTATTGTATTTTCCCTTTCAGTGCCAACTTTTTTACTGACTGCTTCCCACGTATACTGAGAAGACAAATTCCTTGTATCTCTTTGACTTGATATAGTCCCAGATTATTACTGAGTTGTCTCTGGATCTTATTGTTGGTTTCCATACCCATTAGTTTCCCACACTGGAAACAAACAATTCTTACTAACATGGAATCTGTTACTTCAGAGTCTTGAGTCCTCACCATCATTTGGGTGGGATATGTCATAAAAGTAATTGCTTTTGGAATTAAGGGGTCAAAAAATGTTCCAGACAAGGTTCATGGAAGCTTTTCCCTGCTCACATTCTTCTGCTTTCTAATAATCGTACATAGTTCAATAATAGAACATGTACTGTTTCTACATGTAGTAGATCTTCAGGATCTTTCATCCATATTACTAGTAGGCCACAACACAAAACATACCTCCCTTTCATCTTGGCAACTGCTCCATGTTGCTTCACCAAATGTTATGGCAGTAATAGTAGTCCACTTGTGGTTATTGATGTTTCCCCACACTATGTTATCTTGAGCAAATGCCAAAAACCTGCCTTCAGGTTCATCGGCTTGCTAATCGCCCATGTGTGGTACTGCATGGAGACCACAAAGAAGAAACAGATTACCTATCAGAGTACTTCATGAGGTCATTTTCATAGTCCCACAATCCACTCTTCTTCCTTACTGGTAGCCTCTCAGTTGTCACATTGCTGGAGAGCTACATGCTATGTTTTGAAGGAACTGTGGAATAGTACTCACCTGTCCCCACAGGGCATGTACAGAAAGGTAAAACTATCCCTTTGGAGAAGGTATTGGAATATCAATTTGGGGACAAGGGCTTGTCTAGAACTTTAAAGGTTTGCTTCCATGCCAGTGTGGAACCCATACGTGTTGCTGTACATATGACCTCTTGAACACCAGTTACAGGAAAGTTAACTGTTTTACTGGCAAGATACCTTTTAAAATACACACGTGCATTTGGTGTAGCACAACGTACTTGAGAGGTAAAAAAGTCAGCTCTCGATATAGCAGCTTCTTTAAATAGTTACATGAGTGTTAAGATATTCAGGGTGAAATCCTTTAGATTTTGCCACCATTTCCCATTATAAAATATTAGTTATGGTATTTTGGATGCTAAATACTTTACACTACATATATAACGAATGCCAAAAATAAATAACTGAATGGCTCTAGCCTTTAGTTGGGATTGTTTGTATGCTGTAATTCTGTTGAACTGAAGGAAATTGCAAAATGCATTCTCAGAAAAATTCTACTTCCATTTCAGTAAGTTTCTAATCCATATGGCAATATGAAGTGGCCTTATACCATGTCAGGTCATTGGTATCCCTAGCTTAGTATCGTCTGGTCTGACTGGTAGTGGCTCTCCAAAATTTCAGACAAGTCATTCCCTGCACCAGATACTTGCAATACTTAAATTGGAAGTGCCTAGGACTGAACCTGGGACTGTTATGGTGCACGGTAAAGCCTCTGGTGCAATGCCTGTTGAAAGAAGCCAGAATGTTGATGAAAAGATTTTCATTGATTAGTAAGGCAGAGATTCCATGCCCTGCATAACTTTTTCATCTTTTTTTAAGCTTGGGAGAGTCAGAATAATGAAAATTGCAGAAGAAATATAAAATGATGCAAGTTCAGTAAATTTGGTGATCATTTGTATACAAATCATAATCCCTTTTTCTGGCAGAATTTTGATTACTTGGTATAGAATTTTACAAATTTTTAGATACAGAGTGCACACACTCCTGATTTTAATTAGAAATGGAAGTATATTTGATGGCAGGACATCACATTAGTTAGTGGTAAGATGCAGAACAATGATTCTGCACGAGGTGGGAGAGCTCAGAGTCTAACTTCTGGGCTAGTTTAAGATCTGTAAGTCTTATGTGAGGGGGTGGGGTGCAGAAGCTGGAGAAAGACTGGCTTGCTGTAGACTTTCCTACTGGTGCCATTAGGTCATGTGTACTGGAAGAAAATACAAGCTATTTGGATCAAGTTTATAAAACTAAAATTCTCCATTTCTGTAAGACAATAAAACTATGAAGTATTAATTATATAGTCACACTTCAAATTCTACTTCTTCCTTACCTTGATCTTAACTTACATTTGAATGTTTTTACTTTTAGCATCTGGTTCCCAGGAAATGTACAGTAGCTGCCATAGAACTTTGTGCTTTATCTTGTAAC